CATCTGAACAAGTGTAAACTGAGTGTATTTGTGTCATCAATACTCTAAATAAACATTTAAACCGTACTCTGTGTGTACTTATCTTCGGAGCCCGCGAGGGGACATGGGGGGATTTTTTTCTTTTGCGTTCCCCCGCAATACTTTTGCGTTACCTCGCAATACTTTTGCGTTACCTCGCAATACTTTTGCGTTACCTCGCAATACCTTTGTGTTCACTCGCAATACTTTTGCGTTACCTCGCAATACCTTTGCGTTCCCTCGCAATATTTTTGCGTTCCCTCGCAATACCTTTGCGTTCCCTCGCAATACTTTTGCGTTCACTCGCAATACTTTTGCGTTACCTCGCAATACCTTTTCATTCCCTAGTAGGTTAAAGAATACATGTTTAGAGACTTTGATAAACTTTTCAATTATTTTAGAGCTGTTTTTCTTTTTTTTAATTGTACGGTTAAATTTACTGATTCCAAAACAGTTTATTTTTTTTTAAATCGGACCACCCATTACGGATTTAGAGGTTATCAAAGGTTGAAAATTCGGGAGCAAGTGCTGTATTTTTTCCCATTATACCAAAAAAAATTGCGGAACACAATAAACATATTGCATATTAAAATTTTGCAACAATTTTTCAAATTAAAGCAGAAAACAAACTATAAACATTTAGTTATATTTTGAAATGATATAGTAGTGACAGAAGATCACAAAAAACTGATGACGCACTGCCAGACATGGACAATGTATTTATGAAAGTGCCTGATGTTTGTGCGTAAGTAAGTTATTGTCTTGCTGACTAGAAGGCTGTTAGTTTGAATTATCAATCAATAATTATCACCTTTTTTATCAGCAGCATAAAACTTCAAAACAACTTGTTTTCTTACTAATCTTTTCCACAGAGCTTTGTAAAAATTAATACCAAGAAAATTCTCATTTTTTCCTGATGACATGAATTAAACTGTTATATTTTATACTGTCAATGAGCCAATAAGTAACAAATTGTTTACATTAAACRTTTAGCAAAAACAAACTCTTTCAACAAATGTTGTAAAGCAATTAATGCATGAGAAGAGTTATCAGACATGTTTGGMCCACACCCTGCAGCACCACATCATCCAGAACAGTATAGTTTCAGTTTGTTTCCTTAGCGCTCGCCTCTCTGGATGTAAACGTCTCCCATGATTGGTTGGCTCCTTCCACAGACTTCTTCTTCTTTAGATTTTAACAGCAGCTTGCATCCATTGATGTTGCACTACTGCCATCTCTTGGATCCTACCACCTCAAATTCTCATAAAAATCCCAATATTTAAAAAAAACGGAAAATCTTCTTCTTCCCCTCATTACTCCCCAACTGATCAACCACATTCTCAAACTTCAACACCTCATCAAAACCTAAGTCCGTTTTTAATAATCTTCTTTGATTTGCATATTTTCTACAGCTGATAAAAACATGTTCCATCATTTCTACAGGATCACACCAACTACATAAACCAGTAAGATGCTTCCCCATCTTAAAAAGATTTCCATTTAAAAAGCTGTGCCCAGTTCTTATTCTGTTTATAATTYCCTCTTCCCTCCTGCTTATTCCTCTGATTCTTACTACATCAACTGATTTTTGTATCCCATATAAATGTCTTCCATTTATTTCATTATCCCACCTCCATATCTTCTTGCTTTCTCTCCAAACTACACTTTTGCCTTCAGATTTAGATAATTTTATTGTTAAATCAATTTCTTCCTTTTTTACAGCCTCTAGCCAACGTATCTGCTCTTTTATTACCCAAAATACCTACATGAGCAGGAGTCCAGAATAACRTTACTTTTTTATTTTGTTCACATATCCCATGATAAACAGCCATAATTTAATTTAYTATTTTTTGATGAGTATTTGTATGTCCTTTTTCAATACTCAACAATGCAGATAATGAATCACTACAAATTGTTATTTTATTTATATTATTATCCTCCACCCATTCAAAAACTATATAGCACATAATTCTACTGCATATATTCTCAAAGACCTTCCACAGGCTGGTGTTGTGCACCATCTTTCTAGTCCCCSTGTCTTCAGGTTATCACAGAATGGTTCCTACCCTCCTGCGTCYGAGCTCGACGTGGCAGCCATCTTGAAATGGGCCGACTCCAAAAGTTGAAGAGTTATAGCTGCACAAACTCTAAATATTATCTGTAAGTGTCATTCAAATATGCCCAGGGGCTTAAGAGATATTTTAATAAAAGACAAACATGATTAACTTTTTTACCTCARTGTGTGTCAAATTAAATCATTTTTAGTCATAGGCTTTTCTGTGGCAGCCATCTTGAATCTGATTGACTCCAGTAGAAGTTATGTTCATGCCAGGCTACCAGAATGAGAATGTTTTGCATGAATCTGTAATTTCATTGTACTCTCTGTACGATGACATTAAAAAGGTCTCTCTAATTTGAATGCTTTTGTCACCTGACAGGCAGAGATGGACTTCCATAAATTCTGTGACCAAAACTCCCAGGAGTGACCAAGCCCCACCCACTCTTGCCAGGTAAACATTCACCAGTTAGAGAACCACTGGTTTTGCCTGAGAACCTGGTCACGCCCTAACAGGAAAGGGGTGTGTTTGCAGGAATGAGAGAGTCAAAATAGAAACTGGCCAGACTGGTGCAACAGTGAAACCAGTCTGTTCTGAAGCTCAGAGTCAAAAACAATGTTAGCTGTAATCCTGCTTGTGGCTGTTGTTTTAGGAGTCTCTTACACTTTTCATCATTTTGTGGTGAAGGGACAAAAATGCATGAGCAAAGCGAAGCTGCATGGGAAAACTGTGATAGTGACCGGTAAGAAAAAGCTTCTGTGTGTTAGTGGTCATGTGTTGCTTGTTGGTTGAGACTTCATTTTGTCCTGTAGGCAGCAACACTGGCATCGGGAAGACCACAGCCATAGACCTGGCTAAAAGAGGAGCCAGGGTTATTCTGGCCTGTCGCTGTAAGCAGAGAGGAGAGACCGCTCTCCAGGAGGTCAGAAATGTAAGTACTGTCCTGTGTACAAGTATGAGACTGAATTATTGTACTCAGAGCTATGCTGAGGGAATGGTATGGTGTAAAAGAAATAACCCAGGCTGTGTTACGACAAACAGCAGGATGTTCTGACCCGTCTGTGCTCACTGTGTTGCAGGAGAGTGGCAGTAACCAGGTGGTCTTCATGCAGCTGGATCTGGGGAGCCTTAAATCTGTTCGCAGTTTCGCAGAAACTTTCCTGAAGTCTGAACCCAGACTGGACATCCTGATCAACAACGCAGGTTAGACTCTTTAATTTACCTTTAATTCATTTACATCATGGTTCCACTACACCTCAGCAGTTCTCTTACATTAAATTAATCTCAAGTTTGAATGTGTCAGTATGTGTTCAGTTTTTAATCAACACGTACGACCACAGGTGAAAGAGCAAAATGTTTTTTTTTCTTCTTTGTGTGTTTTCATACACATACAGTTTTACAGATAAATGGTTTAATCAGTGTTGTATAATGTACCTCAAAGTGATACTTGAGTAAAAATAAAAGTATCTTGCTGAAGAAATTTATATTTATTAGGTTAATACTGATGTTAAAAGCACAACACTATATTTTTAGGTTTTCCGTTTTATAATGTTGACAATGTTTAATCTATTATGTTTTGATTGATATAGATCAGTTACATGTCTGAATTATATAACAACACATAATCTACCGTTATGAGAACAGTAGGTGAGAATTTTGTCTGAATGCCTGTGATTCAGCCGTAGGTCAGTAGGGGGCGAACGCGGGCATTGAAGACCCTGTATAAATGGATGTACTTCCTGTTTTTTGGCTAGTGTGGTTTCCTTGTCAGCCCGGTGGCAATAAAACCTCACTCTGTTCCAGAATTCTGGTGTTGTTTGGTTTTCATTCCTTCCACAAATCATTTTATTTAACAGTGGTGGTTTTAATATTGACTTCAGTCTTTTGAACACATATTTTCTTACATTACCATAAAATTACTTTGGTAAAAGTTAAAGTCTCCTTTAAGGATTTTACTTGAGTAAAAGTCTTAAAGTATCATCCAACCACAATTAAATTCACTATCCAAGAGGCAGTTTATTAGGATATTTTTAACTACAACAAGCCATAATGAAATAGGAGTAATGACTTTCTACTTCTTGCCTTTTATAAAAATGTAAGAAGTAGAAAGTACAGATAACTGTGTAAAAATGTAAGAAGTAGAAAGTACAGATAACTGTGTACAAATGTTAGAAGTAGAAAGTACAGATAACTGTGTAAAAATGTTAGAAGTAGAAAGTACAGATAACTGTGTAAAAATGTAAGAAGTAGAAAGTACAGATAACTGTGTAAAAATGTAAGAAGTAGAAAGTACAGATAACTGTGTAAAATGTAAGAAGTAGAAAGTACAGATTGTGTAGAAATGTAAGAAGTAGAAAGTACAGATAACTGTGTAAAAATGTTAGAAGTAGAAAGTACAGATAACTGTGTAAAAATGTAAGAAGTAGAAAGTACAGATAACTGTGTAAAAATGTAAGGAGTAGAAAGTACAGATAACTGTAAAAATGTAAGAAGTAGAAGTAAAATGTAGACTGAAAAA